AAGGTTATGGTTTAAGGGCAACTGTGGGAAGAAGAGTGAACTTGGGCCTGGCCCAAGAGGGGGCAGTGGGGGCAGGGACCAGAGGGACAAGTTCATTAATTGAGCACCTTCTTTGTGCCAGCCCTTGATGAGCCTTTGCATTCTCTAGCGTTTCTTTGAAACCACCGGCAATCCTACAAGATCAGTGTTAGGTGCCCCAATTTGCAGACAAGGAAACCAAGCCTCAGAGAGGTGCTGTGACATCTTCAATGTCACACAACCTGGGCGAGAGAGTTGAACTCAGAGCTGTCTGACCCAAGAGCTGGGGACGGTGGGGTTGGGGCAGGACAAACCCTGGAGCGGGGCTTTGAAGGCAAAAAGGGGGCGTCCACCTGGAAGAGAGGAGGACGTTGCAGATGACATGATCTTGTTTGTTCTCCATGTAAATCAGATGACATCTCTCCCCCACACAAAGCCCTCCAACAACTGCCCGATGCCCTGGGATGGAGTCTGGCCTCTGCTGTGCCACCTGCCCTCCGACCCCTCATTCTCTCCAGTGGCACCAAATCCCCTCCTGCCTCAGGGGCTTCTCAAGTCAAATTTAAATAATGTAATTAATCAAATTTAATCACTTGGTTGTAATTAAGCTTAATTAGTTTAAACGACTTAACTAATTAATTTAAATTTGATCGCCCTGTCTCCTCGGGGAGTGCTGATGGGAAGGCAGCCAGTGCGGCTGCAGCACTTGTGAGTTTGCTTCTTGCCTCGATGCCCTCACACACAGGCCCAGGTCTGTCTCAGCCCTGCTCTAGCTCCAGTTCAGGAGCACTGCCTGGCACACAGTAGGTGCTCAGGTAACACCTACCACGTGCCACACCCTGCAGAGAACAACCCAGACAAGGACCTGCTGTAGAGAGTCCATGCTGCGCCTCCTTTCCCCTGGATGTCGTGGGCAATAGTAAGGAGCCATGGAGGGTTCGGAAGCCAGGGAAGGAAAGAACTTCTTGGGCAGGTGCACAGAGCAACTTCCCCATCCCCAACCAGAGACTTCAGCTGCTGCTGCCTCCCCAGGCCTTCCCCAGCCCTAGTCCCCCCCAGTGCTGGCCCAGAACAGGAATAGAGCAGCCCACGGCTTCTGTGAGGCCAGAGGGGGTGGCTGCAGCTAAACCTGGCCTGGCAGGTGGCTCACTTGGGGTATGGCAGAGCCTCGGCCAGGGGTAGGGAGTGAGGCGCAAGACATCTGGGTTCCTGGGCTCCCTCTGTCTCTGCCTCACTCTCTGGTTGGGCTCAGGTAGGGCCAGAGCCTGGTAGAGACTTTGTATCCTCCAGGAGAACCCGGCTGCCCTGGGCGTGAAGATAAACCAGCTCCAATAAGCATAGCACAGCTGATGTATATATAGACCCTCCCACCTGGTTTCCAAAAGGATTTGCAAAAGCTTTCACAGGAGGCAAAAAAATGAGCATTTAGAGTGTGCCAGAGTTTACACATGGGGCCCTCACATCCCAGGCCTCAGGAAGTAGAACAAGGACATGGAGATGGATCTCAGATCCTTCCAGGAAGCTCGTCCCAGTGGGAGTGAGCTCCCCATCGGGGGAAGTATGCAAGCAGAGGTCAGCAGGCCCTGGTGGGGGTGTGGCCAGGGAGGGATGCGTGCATCAGATGGAGGCTTGGTCAGATGCTGTGAAGTCCCTGCTGGGAGATGCGGTGACTCTGGCCCTCCTTGCCCAGCCAATGCTCCTGCCCACAAAGAAGCCTGGTAAAGAGCCTGAGATAAAGCTGGGGTGGCAGCAGCTTGCTGGCCCCTTCCCTCTTCCCTAAAAGTTACCCAGACAAGTTTAAAAACTGGAGGGGGCGGGACCTTAATCACAATTCCTGGGACTGTGGTGGGGACGTCCACAGCTGCCAGGTGGCCACACAGGCCTTCCCTGGACCCTGCCCTCGGAAGCAGAGCCTGGCAGCTGTTGTGGGGGCAGGTGCCACCTTGGACATTCAGTTCCCAGCTTTGGCGCTGCCTGCTGTCTGGCCTTGAGCGCGTCCCTTCCCTTCCCTTCTCTGAGGTGCAGAGTCCTCAATCAGTACAATGAGGGGCTGACTTGCTCCTGGAGCCCTCCCAAGACTGCTGACCCCCCAGTGATTAGGCCGAGACTTGGCATGGTTGGGGCATGCTCTCTGGGCCCCACTGCCTGGTTCCTGAGCTCGGCCTTGGGGCTGGAGGCAACTTCCCTGCACCTGCCCTGTTTCCTCTGCCATCACCCGACCCTCATCTGAGCCAGGCTCTGAGCAAGACAGACCCCTCTCAGTGTACTGGGGAGACAGTGGACAAGAATGCAAATAAATAAATATGAAGAAAATATGGTAGGACCAGGGTAGTCAGGGAGGCCTCTCTGAAGAGGCAGTGTTGGAGCAGAGACATTCTGAGCAGAGAACACCCTGGGGGAGAGCATTCTGGGCAGAGGACAGCTAGGGCAAAGGCCCTGAGGCAGGTCCAGGCTTGGCATGTGGGGGCGCCATGTGGCTGCACGGCAGAGAGAGGGGCAGAGTGGGCAGAGGCCAGGGAGGGCCGTCGGGTGTGGGGCTTAGTGGGAGGCCCCGACCAGGGGAGCTGGGAGCCACAGCAGGGCTCTGAGGAGAAGAGGCACAGCTGGTATTTAACAAGGATGGCCGCTTGCCCTGACCACCATCCCCCAGAAGGGAATCCGCCAAATCGTCCCTCAGAGGCAGCCTCCCTGCTCCTGAAAAGGCCTGTTTGCTACATTTTTTTTTTCCCTGCATTTTTAATGCTGCTTGATGAGGAGGCTCTCACGGCTGTAATTGAAACAGAAAGTCCACATGCTTTTGCCACCTGTCTGTCAGTCCAGAGAGACGTATTAATCCCGGGTCTGGGTGAGGCGCCTGCCCTGACCCTGCTGCCTGATGGGAAATGGAAACATCCGGCCTCAGCAAAGGGGCTTAGGCTAGTCCCTATCCCCATGACCCCCACCTCAGGGCCTGGCAGCAGGGAAGACTGGGCTCTGCCACTTGGGGCAAATAGTACAGTGGGGGAGACCCTCACTGAGAGCATGGGTTGGATTCACTGTCCAGGGCCTGGGACTGGCCCTGTGATTTGTAAATGCCAGCATGATTTGCACACTGGCTCCCCCACTTTGAGGTCTGGACACCCTTTATAAAAGCTGAAGGGTCCCATAAATGGTAACGGAACCTGTAAATGACTAGTGCTTGCAGTAATGTGTGGAGGAAGCTGCAAACTGTAAAGTGCTGTCTAATCTAGCCAGTGCTTGGCAAACCGGAAACTATAAAGTGCTTTGTAACCCTGTAGGGAGTTGCAAACCGTAAACGACTTTGTAAACCGTGTTTGGTAAGCTGCCAAGTGCTTTGTAAACTGTAGGGCTCTCTGAAAGCTGTAGCGTGATTTGCCAGCTGTAGGGGCTTGTGCACCATGAGAACCTGTGTGACTCAGGCCTCCTGCCCTGTCACCCTAGTCAGCCCCAAACCTCCGAGCCCGCCTGCCTACGCCGCCAGCAGCAGGGCTGTGGCGCACCCTGGGCTGGCAGGGGTGCGAGCCCGGCCATGCCAAGTGCACGGGGCGCTCCGAGGCTGGGAGGGGCTCCAGGGGGCTGCGCTCGCAGCCCGGGCTCTGCCGCCTCCTGGTGGCTGCAGGCGGAGGCGACCGGGGCCCGCCCCTGGAAGTCGGCCCGGGATTCGTCCCCTGCCTCCCTGCCACTTTGTGCACTCATTCAGCAGAGGTCAAGGGAGCGCCTCTGGGTGCTGGCGGCGTCCCGGGCACAGGCGTACAACAGTGACAGATCAGACCTGCCCAGATGAAGCTGGGTAATGAGCTTGAATGCCTGTGCCGTTTTAGCCAGCGTGGTCCTCGAAGGCCTCCCTGAGGAGGTGACATAGGAGGCAGAATGGCGAGAGGGATGAGCCACAGGAAGATGGGCAGGTGGCCTGTTCCACGCAGAGTCCAGTTCAGCCAAGGCCCGGAGGTGAGCGCGAGCCTTGGAGATTGGAGGAGAGCAGGAGGGGCAAACACTCCCTGAAACTGTGAAGTGCTGCTGTGCCAGGGAAAGGCTGATGGCCAGAGGCCTGTTCCACAGTAGGCCGGAGAAGGGCAAGTGGGGTAGATGGAGGCGGAGGACGGACATACCCGTGGGACCCGTGCCCTCCTCTTGGGAACGCACCCTAACTTTCCTTGGAGGACTGTGGATGCCCCGCTCTGACACCTTGAGATGTGGTGGCCGATTCCCCCAAGGTGTGATCTGGGTCTGCCCAATCACACTCCATCCTCCTGGTATGGGATGAGCATGTGACCCAGCCAATAAGAGCCAGCCCTGGGACCTCAGGTGGCGCTCTGGGCCATGTGCTGAGCTGGTGGGAGCCACTGGGCCTGACCTGCCGCATGAGCAGCATGAAACTGAGACAGAGAAAAACAGAGCTAAGGTGGGCACGAGCCCTTCAGGACATTAACCGAACTCCTGAATCCAGTGATGCCTGAGCCACCCACACTTGTAAATGCCCTTCTGCTGGAGTCAGATGAAGTAGGGTTTCTGCCCCAGCCCACACGTCCAGGACTGCAGCGCCAGAATGGACTCTGGCAAAGGAGCCTTTGTCAAGCTGCCCCCACTCCCTCCAAGCCTTCCCCAGGGGCCAATACCTCCCCAGTGAGTTTCTCCATCTTACAAGCTGTGTGGCTTTGGGCAAATCACTTCAGCTCTCTGGGCCTGTTTTCTCATCTGTAAACCAGGAATAGCATAACACCATCAATGAGGGGACTGGGCCTGTGTGTCTGCGGCTCTGTCCAGCAGAGCCTGGTACCTGGATGGTCACAGAATGAAGCACCTCATCACAGATCTCTGGGAGCCTCAGTGTCCTCATATGTAAAAGGGGCTGTCAAGAGCAAGGCCTGGTGGGTCAGCCGGACCCTCCCCTGATCACCCAGCCTAGTTCTGGCTCAGAGGTGAGGAGTCCTTCTAGGGGACACAGTGGGGCTCGTCGCTGTCATACACAGTCTCACACAAACTTTTATCCCACTTTTTTTTTTTTAAATTAAAACAACAACCAAGGACTGCCCCAACCTATTAGAGAAAGGACCCAGGATGGGCAGTCCTTTCTTCAAAAAAATATATTTTCTTTTTTTTTTTTTAACACCACCAAAGCAAATCCACGGCTCCCATCGAGCCAGTCCCCGAGGCAAGTGAGCTAGATGGCTCCCCCTGGGCACCTCTCCAAGCGGAGACCTTGGGCCCATCCCCCCTACACCCCAGCCTGAGCAGGACAAGGATCAGCCTGCTGGTACACGAGGGGGCGGGAGAGAAGTGATCAGCTCCAAACCATGCAAGAAAAACCAGCTAAACCCACAAAGCAAAAGAAAAAATCAACAGAGGATAAATTAAAAAAAAAAAAAAAAAGGTGAAGGTGAAAGGACACCCCTGGAGGTGGCTGGCAGGGCTAGATGACCCACGTGCCCTTTAGAGGCCCTGTTTGCCAGTGCTGGGGGGAAGGCCTTGGGCGGCTCATGACATCTCCCTCGTGGGAGTCTTGGGGGAATTCACATGGCTCATCCATCCCCCCTGTTGTGTCCCTTGCAGTGAAGCCAGGACAGAGGTGTGGCCACCCTGGGCCAAAGTGTGCGAAGTCCATTCAGTCAAAGAGATAAAAAATATACAACTTGTGTAGCATCCAGGGCTGGGCCAAGGGAGCGGCCCGTCCACACAGGAACTGGCTGCCTTCTCTGCGAGGGGCAGCAGCATCTGGCAGGGGGCATCCAGGCCCCTCCAAGTCAGGGTCTCAACAGCTGGAGACTTGGGGTCCTTGGAGCAGTAGAGGCACTAGTGGGGTCCACATGGGCCCGCTGGGAGCCCCAATGGTCTGGTTCTTTGGCACTTGGGACAAACGATTCATTGCAGAGCCCGGCAAGGAGCAGCCCCCTCAATTCATCCCGGAACGCCCAGGGCCAAGATGGCAGTAGCTTATGGATGTGGTGGGCAAGCACTGTCCCCGCAGAGGAGGCTGTGGGGCTCTGGAGGGCCAGAGTGGGGCCCAAGGCCCAGCCCCCTACGAGTCCTCTCCCAGGATCTCCTTCACGAAGGCAGCAATGTCCGTCTTCTTGGTTTTGTGCAAGGTGAAGAAAGGGTGCTCCTGGTGGGTGACAGAAGACACAGTCACCGTGGAGGGAAGTGGGGTGAGGCGCCCTCTCCTCCCCGGCCAGCCTCAGCCCCTGCATGCTCCTCCTGCCTGGTGAACTCCTACTCATCCTCCTAGGACCTCTGTTCCCAGGCAGCCCTCCATAACTGTCAGAGACAGCATTCATGGCTCCTCCTTGGCCCTCCTGCAGTTACCCTCCGGCCACACACACCTCCCCTTTCCCCACATATGCCAGGCCCCTGCCCGTGGTGGACGTTCTGCTTGGAATGCCCTCTCCACCCTTCCTTCCATTAGCAGGCAACCCTTATTCATCCTTCCAGGCTCAGGGCAAATGGCACCACCTCCAGGAAGCCTTCCCTGATGCCACTCTTGGTCCTTCTGTCCCTTTCTGTCACAGCACTGCCTGAGCACCCTTCCACCATGGCCTGGCTGGAGGAGGAAGGAAGGAGCCAGGTATGCGTGGGTGAGTGAGTGAACAGAGTGACTAAGCCCCTAAATGAGGTAATGCAGGGCCGGCCAGAGAGCTGCCCATCTGTGTGCCCGGATTCAGCACTCTCCCCGGAGAGCCCCACCCGGCCACTGCCCAGCCCACACTCACCATCAACTCCAGGTAGCTCATGCGCTCTGCAGGGTTCTTCCTCAGGCTAGGAGAGAACAGGGCAGCTGAGGCCGGGCTAGCCTGCAGGAAGTGAGGCTAGCCCTGCAGGCCAGCCAAGCCAGGCTGGGCTCGCCCCGACCAGGCAGTGAGGCACACGTGCTCCCAGGGGTGGGGAAAAAGGGGCAGGACTGTCCAGGGGGCCTCCCAGGGTGGAGCAGAACCCGTGGGGGCAAACTACAGAGCCTTAGTTTCCTTGTTTCCATAGTAATCTAGGAATTTCCATGAAACCAACACCAAAATGCTCTGCCTAGCATGGTGCTGATAACACCAAGGTCAAGGGTTCGAACCCCCATACTGGCCAGCCACCAAAAAACAAAACAAAACAAAACCCAAAATGCTCTGCCTAATGACCACGTACTTGGTATCCTCAATCAGAGGAAACTCCGTGTCATGGGTCCTGGGATAGACGAGGAGCCAATAAAAGGGGATCAAGCCCACCAATGACTGTTTGCTGACCTCATCTGTCTTCAGTTTTCTTTTTTTTTTTTTTTGACCGGTAAGGGGATCGCAACCCTCGGCTCAGCCAGTGAGCGCACCAGCCATCCCTATATAGGATCCGACCCTGCGGCCTCGGCGCTCCCAGCGCCGCACTCTCCTGAGTGAGCCACAGGGCCGGCCCCAGTTTTCTTACTTTCTAATAAATGAAATAAAGGCTTTGAATTTTTCTGAGTATCTCTTTTCCCCCAACATACAGAAGTTGATATGTTCTCACTGTCTTCACTTTCGGTTTTTAATTTTATTTCTGAAATCTCTTTCGTAATGCAGGAGTTATTTAGAAGAATTTACTTTTCATTTCCATCTAGCTGTTTCCTCCTTACTTACTGATTTCTCGTTCTATTTAATTATGCTCAGAGAACACATACATTCTCTGAATGCCTTTTCCTTTTTCGTTATTTCCTTTGTAACCTCAAACACAATGAATTTTCATAAGGCTCCCATGTGCATTCTTTAATTTGGTTCTAGACATCAATAAAAGCACATTTGTTACATATGTGAATCCTCCGTATGCCTTTTTTTCCTTTGCAGTCTACCTTATCTGTCTATTTCTGGAAGGATTGTATTAAAATCTCCCACCAGGACCAGTTTTGTCAAATTTTCCTCATACTCCAACTATTTCTACTTTACGTCTTTTGACACCATGCTATGATTTGCTAAAGGAGAAGGGGATGTGGCCCAGGAAGGAGCTGGGATCTGGCCCGGGCAGGAGGGAGGGCTGCCGGTTGGGGCTCAGCAGGGCCAGAGACTCACCACTGTGCAGTGAAGTCCACAAACTCAGGGGAGAAACGATCGGCTGGGAGCTGGGGTGACGGCTCCTCCACCACCTGCTTCAGCTGCTGGAACGGGGTTCCCCAGGACTCGTAAGGGAACCGTAGAATGGCCATCTCAATCTGCAGTGGGGACAGCAGCGTTAGATGCACCCACACTCTGCACCCAGAGGCCAGGGATGTGGGGAGAGGGATCTCAGAGCTCGGCCTCCAGGTGGGCTGAGGGGCTGCTGTAGTGACCTCCCTAACACATCAGAGCACACCCAAAGGGAAGGCCAGGGGCACCAGTATTTAGCTCCTCTGACCCAGCCAGCAGAGACCCGGTGCAGGGCTGTGACTGGTTTGACCATGTGGTTTTCAAACAATCTGAATTCAGAAGATTTTGCATAAGAATCCAGGTTCCTGCTGATCTGGCAAAATCTGAGGAGCTGGCAATGGTGGGCTGCCTTCTTGCAAGGCAGCAGTTGGCAAAGCACCTTAATTAGATGGGTCATCAGGTCCCTGATCATCACAAGCCACTGCCCTCCCTAATGTCTCCCCAATACAGCCTACGTGCCTATTGCCATTTATTTAGGCTGTTGATTTTACAGAGGAGGCAAAGAGGAAATGAAATGATTCTCACACACCTCCCTCCCCCGAAGGCAGCCTACATCTGATGGGCTGCTTGGCTCTCTGCAACAGCCCACCAGGCCCATCAGGAGTTGATGTCTGCAGCCCCA